AGATGAAGAAACATTTAAAAGCCCAACTCCTAATTAATTAAATTAACATAAAGTTCATTTTAATTGAAACATATCCTCTCTTTCTTTTTTTTTTTTTTGAAAGCTCTTTATCTAAGTACTAAATATTTTTTCTACATTTGAAATGGTCCTTGAAATTTATTCTATAAAAATAAAATTTTCAATAATTAAAAGTTAGAGTACCATATTAAATATTTTTCAAAAGTTTAGGGGGACGGCTGCCCCCCTTTCCTTCATCGGCTCCGTGCTTGACCTCAGCTTGCCATCATTAAATTATTATTATAATAATAATAATAAAATATCTTGTTGCTCGCATTTTTCTCTTAAATAAAAATATAAAGTTATTTTATGCGGATAATAATGGCACACAATACAAATCATGGAGTCTCTGCTTCAAATTTTAAATCAATTAATTTATGATTTCATTTATTAAAAAAAAGTATATAATCATAATTTCTTCTATCTTAAAATAATATTTTAAGAACACAGGTAAACTTAGAACACAGGTAATCCCTCCTTACTTATGTGGTATTTACGTTGAATATTCATAGTTTTCAATAAAACATTCATTGCTCTTCATTTTATGACTAAAATGCCCTTACTAGAATTTAGGAAAATCGAACCCAACCATCACCGATCATTGCTCTTGTCCTTTTTCTGTTTCCCCGGCCCCCTTTCTCCTCTCCAATTCTAGCACAAACCCTAAAAACACTGGCATAAGAAACGGTGACATACATAATGAAAACTATGAATATTTAATCTAAATATCATAATGAATATGCATATAGAGAGTATGCATGTCACCGGCAGGCATCCTTCGGAAGAGTTGAGTCTGGCGAGAAGGTCCCAATTCACATTGAACTATGAATATTTCTTATTGGGCTGTCATGGTCCATATATTTTAGGGGTTTTTATTAAATTAATTTTTTTTTTTTTTTTTAACTAAAGGTATTTTAGTCAAATGAAAAGAAGAGAGAATTTGTTCTTTGAAATTGGTAAAAATTCAATACCACAATATATACCATAATAAATAAGCCGCTCCTTTGGACACGAGCTTTCACATCCATTTAAAATTTATACTATTTATTATTTTTAAAATTATAA